CCTCCAACCCCAAGGATGATATCCACCTACAGGATTGCTTATCGGCCCCGTTTTTGGTAGTCGCCGCCATATTGGTGTGTCACCATTTCCGACGTCATAACTAAGTCGTCGGCTGTTTAAACAGGCCAGAAAAGGCAAGAAATAACATGATGTCTACGTCATAACTGGTGATTTGGCTAGGCGGGGGAAGGAAGGATTTGTTCCACACAGGCCTTATGAGGATAGGCTATCCTGTAGTAGTAATGTAGGTATATCATCCTTGCTCTAGCCCAGTCCTAGAAATTGCTCTTAGCACCAAGGTCATGAATGTGACAAAAAACTGCTCTGACTCCACTCCAACTCAGAACTCATGGCATTTTCGGCTTCACTGCTCTCAGAGCGTTCCCTGTCTGAGCGGTGACGTCACAGATCCCTGTGGAAATTGTTTAATTTTTTTATTGTTATATATTTTCATATTCATAAATAAGCTATTTTTGTTTTATATTTGAAATATTACGCAAAAAGTTCATTAATTAAAAATCTACTGTTTAAGCAAGCAAATCTGTTTGTTTTTATCCCGATCTACTGTCGGCGAAAAAATCCATCTGAAAGCACTGGAAGACACAGGCCTCTAAAATGATGGTTATCTGCTTTATGTAGGGTTTCCATACGTCCGGATTTACCCGGACATGTTTGGGTTTTTCGGGTGTCCGGGGAAGTCCGGCCGGAATTCGGAACAATGTCCGGGAAACTTGGAGATCGTGAAAACACTCATACTCAGTTTACACACTATTCAAAAGACGTAAAATTTTACTTCACGCATTAGTACGTAAAGTAATTAACTTTACACACTAGTGCGTGCGTGAATGTCGACACTGTAATTTTTTTCTAGTAAATTACCTAACTTTACGCACTAATGCGTAAAGTATTTATCTAAATTTATTTTTTTACATATATTTTATTGGTAGTAGAAACATTTTTGTTAATGCAATACGTGTGTGAAGTGAACCTTTTTTCATGATTGTGAATTTTGTCGCACTCGCCTTTCATTTTACACACTTGTTGCATTTTGGTGAAGTCCGGATTTTGTCCGGATTTCTTGACTCCTTTGTCCTGAATTCCGAAAAACCCTTATGGAAACCCTAGCTTTATGTAGTGTAGAATGTTTAAGGTTTTGCCATGGAGTTGTTTTTTTCTGTTGAAAATAACGTCACAAATGCAAATAAAAATAATCGAACCGGACACCTAATTTTTAGGTTACCATTTACAATAGACCCAGCTATTTTTACCTGTATGCGCGCTCAACACGAGGCAATGCATTTTTATTGGCTAACTAGTACCAGGGGTTCGATTTTCGAAACTATTCGAGTACATTTCGTACACGAAATTTGACTGACAGCAATGTAAATTAAATGGGAGTCAAATTTCGTGTACGAAATGTACTCGTATGGTTTCGAAAATCGCACCACAGGTGTGAAATAATCCTTTTGCACGCTGGGTATCTTTTTGTCCTTGTTCATTGCCCGTGGTCTGACAAGGATAAAATTATGCTTTATATTTAACTTGACGTAGCTTGACAAGTGATCGATTTTCAATTTTTTGTGTTTTTGATTGACAAATACGTTGCACATCATGCGGTTTTCCCCCTTCCTTTTTTATCCCGTGCAAATAACAAGAACGGATTGCAACACGTAAGTCTAACATAATTTGGTACGTTTTGCCTCGTCTTGCGCAATAAGCGTTCTGCGTCTTTTTCTATCTAATAAAGTTTTCATATTATTACCTCTGTCTGGTAAAATCAGTGTTGCCGTTGACTGGGTAATTCCCCAAAAACCGGGTATTTTCGACTAGTGTTCGGGTAAAATATTGATGTGGGTAAAACCGAGGAATCCGGAATTATAGCCCTATTCTTTTTATTTTATTTTCAATAATTTCAACTAATATTTTCCACATCGGAATTGAAAGCGCAACTGGTTTTATTTAACATGATTTTAGAAAAAAAAAACGAATACATTCATTTCACACTGACAAATGGAAATCACTAGAAGTAGAGTGCCTATCAGCGCATTGACATTGACGTTTACGTACCGTCACTGCCGTCAGGTCCGTCACCACCGTCAGGTCCGTCACCCGTCACGGCCGTTACCCACCCCCACCCACCACCATCAGAAATTCCGAGTTGTGACGTGAAAAAACTAAGAATTCGGAAGGCGGATTGCACGACCGGCCTTCCGTACATAAGTTTTTCATTTTTATGGAAAATCCTATGCAAAAGCAAAATGCTCCTATTTGGCTTGTGATTGGCCGAATTCCTTATGCGCCTAGGCTATACGATTATGCAGGTTTGTCTGGGATGGCCTTATGCTAACTCCCCCACCATCAAATTCTGGGATACTCGAGGATCAAGAACACTCAATATCTTCCGTGAGAACAGACCGAAAATCACATCTTCTACATTTAGAATCGACAAAAAAATAACTCACTAACACAGCCTGAATCGCAAGCATTTCATCGAGGTCTGCGAGTGACGACATGACTAAAAACTGCTGTTAGTGACGTCACTCGCAGGCCCAGAATTTGATAGCGAGGGAGTTAGGGCGGCTTCTCATGAGCGTGATTTGACATTTATGGCGTGACAGCGTACCTGAATGCAGCTGCCGGATTCTATTTTACGAGTCGAGTCGAAATTCGTATCGAATTATCAAAATAACGATTCTATTTTCCGATTTATCAATACCTATTACACAGTAAATCCGGAGCTGTCGTATTCGATATTGAGACAATTCGACTATTCGACTCGACTCCTAAAATAGAATCCAGGGCTGAATTCTGATTGGCCAAATTTCCGCCATATTGGATACGCTGACAATCTGCCGCAGATACGCCAAAAGTTGAGCAAAGTTTAACTTTTCGCGTAAAAACTCAGCGTTTTTAGAGGTTGAGGTTGCAACCGGTTCGTTTTCTAGATTTTTGTAATTCATTGTCTATATTTGTAACTATTTGGAACTAAAGCAAAAACAAATATAAATTTGTACAATCAAAATTCAAAGAAAAATTGTAAAATTTAGAAAAAAAATATAATTTTAACATACGCGGCGGCGTAAATTCTCCACTCCATGTGAATGTTGCGCCAAAATTCACGTATTCAGCATTTGCGCCAGTTATGTCAAGTTTACGTTCATGAAAAGCCGGCCTTAGGGAAGTATGACACAATTGACACATCACCATCACATAACCCAGCATAATCGATTAGCTTGATTCTCGCGAAAAATTGCCTGTATAATTAGTTGTATTCCTTTCAAGAGTTGGAACACTCGAACTACTAACTCCGGTATTAGTCGCCCCCGATAAGAAAGGAACAGATGCGTGGTGCAACAAACACTTTTCGGAAGGAATATGCGCGTAATGCCCCGGAGCTGTTCCGGAGCTCCTCCTAGGTGTGAAAGGAATACAACTATTGCGAAAGCTCTCAGTGGCTGTGACGTCAGCTAGGCCCTTTATTGGCGCGTTTAATATGAGCTGGGTTCAGCTATTCAGCACGGAGTTCGAGTGGAGTAGAACAGATTTTTGTCACGTGATCTAGGAGTGTTTAGAGTGGAAAATTAATACACGAACGACCGGAACGGTCGGAGCAAAAATGTCAAACAACTGATTTGTTTTGTTTCAGAACAACAGTCTTACTGACTACAACAGTCAACCGGGACTTTACAACGTTCCAGTTTTTTTTTTTTTCACTTTTGTCTTTGGTCTTTCGTGTACTATAAGTTAACTTCAATTCCTCCATAATAATGAATAATATGATGCTTTTGCCTAACACAACAAGCTTAACTTGACGTTTACACATTTCACTTCTGCGCATGCTTACTCTAAAAAATTATCTTTCCGAGGTGAAACTTTTAGAGTGAACTCCATTTACTCCACTGCGTATAGTCGAACGCTAATGGAGTCACCCCTAATAAGCCAAAAAGCAATACCCGAACGGCTGGAGTGTAAATGGAGTCACTTGAAGTGCACGGGGTGAGCAAGCCGAACCCACCTACTATAGCTGGGTTCGGCTATTCAGCGCGGAGTTGGAGTGGAGTGAACAGAGCTAATGGAGTCACCCCCAATACGGTAAAAAGCAATACCCGAACGGCTGGAGTGCGAATGGAGTCACTCGGAGTGCACGGAGTGACTCCATTCGCACTCCAGCCGTTTGGGTTAAGGTTTGGGTATTACTTTTCACCGTATAAGGGGTGACTCCATTAGCTCTGTTTACTCCACTCCAACTCCGCGCTGAATAGCCGAACCCAGCTTATATAGTTCGGGTTCGCAAAAAGGACGGTTCCAGAACGGTTCGAAACAATCGCACAGTTTATCAATCAACAAAAATGACATAGGCTCGGCTATCACAAATTTCATTAATAAATTGTGCGATTGTTTTTTCGAACCGTTCTAGAACCGTCCTTTTTTCAAACCCGAACACTATAAATGGAAATGCATAGAAAAGATGGGAAACTATTGCATTGCAGTGTGTTCATGGATTACGATTATGATAATTTTAAAGTGCCGATGAAAAAGCAAAACTTGTTGCCCTGATGCCCCGATTTTTTAACAAACAACAAAAACGTGCACCGATTTCGCCAATATCAATGGCGATTTCCATTTTTCAATAAGTGCGCACTAAGTGTATCCGCATCATTTTCTAAAGGCATGTGACATAGGAAGATAACGATTCATTTTTACTGCAATTCTACAAATGGAACTCGCTATAAGCAATCCAAACCACGTGACACTCAAAATGGCGTGGCTGCCACACATGGGCCAAAAAACACAAAAAACTATGTAGTTTCTGCCCGATTTAATAGTTTAAGTACCTAGTCAACAAATATTTCATTAAATAATGAAAATCTAAGTTTCAAGCATAACTCTAATAAGCAAAATAATTTAAAATACGCATATAAACATATTCAAAAACAAACTTGTTTGCCCTCCACGCCATATTGAATTTTCCTCTTTGACAGATGGATTGGATTGCCTAAAAACTTTGCGAGGTTATGTTTTGGTATCTTACAATCCAAATAATCAAATTCTACAGATCAAATATATTTTTTATTTTGTAAAAAGTTCTCCATGAATGAAAAGGAAGCCAAATTTGGGTCATAGTCATATTAAAAAAGAGTAAGTACCTATATAAAACTATTTTCATGAACGAAACCAAGGTAGACACAGTTTTTTATACAATAATACCAGCGAGTCGAATACTTTATAGGCTCGCCGTTCATTATCTTTAATTTGCTGTAAAATTTCTCCCGAGCAGACAAACGCTTTATCATCAGCAAACATAGAATATTTCGACTCTCAATTTACAAATTTCAGACTACGAACTTAGATTAGTAGGGCTCCAACTAGCTGTGCAACTTTCAAATCCCTACTCCTCGTAAATACCTATGTATGTATTGTTATCTGTTTGCTGTATAGGCCTTCAGAAGATCATCATACAACTCGACAGCTACCAAAAGTTTATTAGTGAAGGATCTACATCCATAGAATTAAACTCTTTATTCCAAGCCCTCCAACTTTCTGTTCCTCATACTTATATTGGGAAATGTGCTTTATGTTAGAGGGTAATTTTCGCCTAATGCTTGCAAAGTGCTCATCAAACAAACTAGTCATATTATGCTCCTCATCAACTGCCTCTACAACTCTACCTATTTGCCAGTGGCGTAGCAACAAATTATGGACCCCCCGCAAAAATTGAGTTGGGCCCTCTCCCTCCTGTTACTGTTTATTATTTGAACTACTAACCTAATATAAAATTTAACTTATAAATACCTATAAAAACACTCAAGAATATACAATACACGATATGTAAAGAATGTTACAACCAGAGCTGAGCTAAGTACTCAGCAAATGTACTTGAAGTATTGAGTATTAAGTATTAAATATTTTAAATATACTTAAAGTATTAAGTACAATATTTTTCTAATGTACTTAAAGTATTACGTATTGTCGCGGCTTTGGGTTGCCTGACAGAAATCTTGGGTTCGTCGTTCGTTTCGTTTATTCCAAAGATCAAAGTCCAATTAACACAGCAATAATTTATTCCACTTAGCAATACACTCTGATACTAATTACTTTAATAACTAACTCAACAATTAAACTCTTTACAATCACTATTTAAATCGTATCACAGTCAAACTTTAACTTAACTTGCAAGCTAAAACCCGTCCTTATATATATCCCTAAATCTATTCCTGTAAAATCTAGAACACACACGATAATGTTATTTCTCGATTATAGTAGAATAATTCGCTAGATTCTAGTATTTTCACCATCGATTCTTGACAGCCTGGCGGATGATATCGTGACAGTATTTTACTTAAAGTAAAAGAAAACAGTATAAGTATCAGTATTTATTGGTTTCAGTATACGGTATTTAGAGTATGTTTTATATGCATTTAGGTACTTCTAGTAGGTATTTATATGTACTTTCTTAAGTACTTATAAATCTCTCCTAATCAATAAAATGAAATATTGATGCTATTTTTTGTTTTACTACTTTTTTTTTCTAGTGAACACTTTTGTTTACTTATAATAATTAAATAATTAGTTCTGCTCAAGGGATGCAACTACACTTGTTTTTTCTGCATCACGCACTTCATTTCCTAGATAATAATTAAACTAAATATACCAAATAAGTACTTAAAGTACATTTTGAGTATATTCAAATTTTAGGTAGGTATATAGTCTGGCAAGTGGTAACTTGGTAGAGACGAAAGGGGGGTAGAAAACTGGGGCGTTACCTAAAAATATTCACTGACACCTCAACTGACACCGTCTGATGACAGCCATGTCTTTGAGTTCAGTGGCACCGAAAACACCAAGGAAATAAACCAATAAAATTATTAGAAAAAAGATTCTCAAGTTTCGCCGATAACCACGCCACTGCGTGCTGTCGTTCAGGCTCTAACCAATAGAATCATGTTTCCGAATAATTACGCCTCTCCACTTCCATCATTTCGCAATGTTGTCTAATTTTTTTCTATTTCAAAATACTACACATGCCCATATAGCAAAAAAAAAATATGTCACCAACTTGTTTATTATTTTGTTTTTAATTTCCGTCAAGTTTGGCAAAGCAGCAAATTCTTTTGCAGTTCGCCGTTTCGCTAGCCAGACAATAGATCGTTTCACCGGTTCATACTTGACGAACGTTTTTGACGTCATTGATTTGTTTCAGTCAATTTCTATTTATTAAAAAATGAAGGCAAATTATGTCAAAAGTATGAACCCTGGTGAAACAAAGTTTACATTTTTAAGTAAGTAGTAAGTATTACTTAAAATAAATTGCCAAATTTAAGTACCAGTACAAGTACTTTTTTCAAATTGTATTGATTATATTTACTCAAGTACTCTCCTTGAAAAAGTACTTAAGTAAAATTCTTAAAGTATTAAATGTACTGAATATTTTACTTCAAGTATATTTTTCTAATCAGTACCTCAGCTCTGGTTACAACAAATATAATAATTAAACAAGGAACAAGAACAAAATAAAAAATGTTTTTTGGAACTAAAAGGAACAAAAACTAAAAAATTTTTTAGGTACTTAGTTGAGGTAGCCATACTTGATACTTGAAACCAACAGTGAGAAGTGAGATAAAAATATTTAAAAGAATTTCTGCTGGCCTTTCCGTGAACTTCAAAGAGGCCAAGAGATTTTTTATGATTTTTTTCAATTGAGTTTAGCATACACATAACATAAATTGCAAAAAGTACAATTGGTCATTTTATTGGAAAAACGCACTGGTGTGTATTTTATTTTTGATTCTCTTTCAGGTCATAAATTCAACATGATACTGTTTCCAGAGGAAATATTGAAGACGCAAATATGTTCTTGCTGCAAAAAGTACCTTTCGTTTGGTCCAATCAAAGTTTCTATCTCGGAAGGAGTGATATGTGGAAGATGTTCAAAGAACGGAGAAGAAACAGCTCCTTCACTGCTGAATAATATTATTAAGAACGTCATTTTTCCATGTGTGAATCGTTTCGATGGTTGCAGTGAACTCCTCAAATGCGAAGATGTGCCACAACATGAAAGTGTCTGTACGGGTAGTCTCCATCCATGCCCAATTTGTGTCAACCATTCCAACAACCAATTGGTGGAATATTCATTGTTGTCTCTGATTCATCATTATCAGATATTGCATAGCAAATACTATCTGACAAACCCTCTGCTTTCTATTAGTACAAACAGTGTCAAAGAATCTAATTATCTTTACTGCAGTGAATATAAAAACATCTTGGCATTTATTAATGTTAAAATTATCGCTGGACAGCCATATGTAAAAATTGTTGCATTGGGTAATAGTAAAAATAAAATAGTTTGCAGCTTGAATTGCCATAACATAATTGACAATGTTGTTACGCAATCTTCATCGAGTACACCGGCTGGAGAGTTTTATTTTGAATTATTATCAGCAGCCAATTCTGATAATGTTTCAGATAAAATGTGTCTCGAATTAGAACTTTCATTGCTAATAACCACTTCATCTATCAGTGGCGAGGAAAGTACAGGTATTGGATCAAAATTCAAACCTGAAGACTTTAAATATTATGGTGAACCATATGATGACTTTATGCTGAAATGCATGCCTGATTTCATTCCACACCAAAATTATCAAGACTATTATAGAGGTCGTAATCATGATTTAAAAAAGATTCAAAAAAAAAGTATTGCTGGGAAAATCTATACAATACAACAAAATGGGTATCATCTTTATGATGTAATGTGCGACTTTTGTGAGAACTATTTTTTATTGACTGGCACCTATTCTTACGTGTATTACTACGACGATTTACCTACAGAAATAAAGATTTGTGATAATTGTCGTGCATCTTGGTGCCCTCATCCCAACTTGTGCAAGTCTATGGAAAGAAAAAGATGCTTCTTCTGTCAACATTCTTCTCCTGAAGAGGTGCACATAAACATAAGTTTTTATTGTAGGTACCACTGTGGGACAGCAATAGACAGCAATGTATTCGATCATGAAAAAACTTGCCCTAATAATCGAAAAGCTGCACTTTCTGATTCTGAATTTGCTAAATTCTACTTCGGAAATTATTTCATTGGTAGTTCTAATAAATACAAATCTGCTGTAATCCGTAACAATAATATGATTGTTTTTGAACAGCAATTTTTGGGGCGCCACGGAAGAATCTACATGGTTACTGATTCTGGATTTTGCTGCATTATATTTTATAAGAGTGACAAATCAGACCTTCAGTTTTCGGTAGCCCATAAATATCCTGTGGATAAATATTATACTTTATTTAAGATAGTAGACAATGAAAACCAATCATTTCGAGAAGAAAAAGATAGTTTCAAAGTAAGTTTGCAAATTGAAAAATTCTTCTTTGTTGTTGCTCCAAGAGAATATTCAGAATGACCATTTGAAAAACAAAAAGCCGCAATACTTTTTTTTTTGTTTTGAATAATGACATCTAACTATCTCACACACATTTGAGTACTAATGATGAGTAATTTTTTACAAATACCTTTTTCCCACAAGTACTTATTGCATAAATCGATAATCTGTTCTTAAGATGCATACAAGTAGGTACCTGAAGCATCTTTATCGAATTTTCACACTTGCGATTCCAATGCACAGCGATATTGGCTTTTGATCTCTATGCTGTTAATCTGTTAATTTTTTTAATTTGTACCTACTTAACATGAGGCCTGTTCAGACAGAAAACACAAACCAGTTCGGATGTTATTGATGGTCTGTGATTTCTTGTATAAGACGCCCTAATAAAGAAGTTTTTTTTTTGTTTATATAAATATCGATTTAGTTTAAAGATTTGAATAATGTTCAAGTACCCAATAAAGTTTGATGTCTATAAATTATTTATCGTATTATTTTTAGTTTAATTTCTACAACGCTATAGCCATGTTATTTGTCAACTAAAACTCACTTTACGCACCATAACAACCTTTTTTGAACTAATAATTCCCTTCATAATAATTAAGCTAAACTTAACAAAAATCTTATTTAAACCGACTACAAACTACCTCACTCGCTATTCACAGACGGGGTTTATCTAGAAGAATCTGTTTACTTCAATAAAATAAATGCATAATCAAAGTGAAGATCTCTTGGTGTAAAGAAGGTTTCTTTCCTATGAAATTCCCATCATTGCACTAGTGTCATAGCACGTCCTAGGATTGTTTCTATAAAAATTAAAATTTTTTGTTAACTTTCAGGATTAATACACCATTTGCTTATAGGACAAGACATAGGCACCTGTTATTTTTTTTAGTGAAAAATTTTTTTCTGGGCTATAATGCCGTGGTTCATTAGTATTTCTACCTAACGTTCCGGTTACTGCTGCGGTAGACATCTTCAGAGGCGGTGTGGTAGAGGACGAAGTGTTCTCTCCCGTGTTCCTCCGATGACTGGATTCGACGTTGTTGGATCTGCGTTATTTATATCCAGGGTTGTGGGCGTGGCTTGTATTAAGCTATTTTCCTTGTCTCGTTCTTGGAAAGGAAGGGTCTTTGTTTTTCGGAGAACTGGCAACCAGCTTTTGTTGGAGGTTCATGCCCTCTTCTTTTCTGTTGAAGTTGTTGTGGTGTTTCTGTATCTCTAAAGCTCCTCTGTGGAGTCTGGTGTAGAAATGTTTGGTTCTATCCAATGCTTGAGTCTGGCCGAAACGAATAACATGGTTTGTTTGTGTAAGCACGTGTTCGGCGATTGCTGATCTATCTATTTGTCCCTGCTGACAGTTTCTTTTGTGCTCTTTGACCCTGGTGTTGATAGAGCGTTTGGTTGTTCCTACATAGACAGATCCACAAGAGCAGGGAATTCTATAGACGCCAGCCGTTTCAAGAGGTGCCCCAGGATCCTTGGCCGATCTTAGACTTTGTTGAATTGTTCTTGTGTGCTTGTAGATAGGCTTAACATTGTGTCTTTCTAGCGTTCGTCCTATGCGATCTGTGACATTTTTGGGAGGGAAGAAAGGCTCTCCCTGCCACCTGTGCTATTGCTTTGGTCTTATGGCTCTATTTATCTTCTGCTTAGAGTACCCATTTCCTTCAAGTGCTGATTTTACGTGTTGCATCTCGTCCTGAAGGTATCTGGGTTGACAAATCCGGGTTGCCCTGTCAGATAGAGTTTTAATGACTCCTCTGTTTTGCCTAGGATGGTGATTGGATTCCTTGTTGATGTATCTGTCCGTATGCGGCGCCTTCCTATATACTCTTTGTCCCAATTTACCTGAAGGTAATCTTTCTAAGAGGACGTCGAGGAATGTAGTTTTGTTGTCCTTCTCAACTTCCATCGTAAACTGTATCCTGGGTTCTATTGAGTTTAGATGATTAAGGAAGTTTTCGAGCTCTGCCTTTCCATAGTTCCAAACAACAAATGTGTCATCTACATGGCGAAACCAACAAGTAGGTTTTTTTGTGGCAGTGCCATTTGTTCGAAGTGTTACATGTAGAAGTTGGTGATAACTGGGCTGAGTGGACTCCCCATTGTGACTTCATTTGTCTGCTCAAAGAATTTTTTTTGCCGTTGAAAGTACGTAGTCGACAGACAGTGGTGAAATAAGTTGTTGATTTCCTTCGGAAAAACAACAGATACTCTAGGCCTGATTCACTGGTACCTTAGTAAACAGTGAGACGACATCAAAACTAACCAGAATGTCGTTTGGTAGTAGAGTGATGATCTGTGGAGTGATGTCACTGATCTTTTCGATGAAATGAGTTGGGTTTTTAACATAAGAGTTGGATTGGCCAATCCTGGAAAAAACTTTTTCACTAGATTTTAGCGGCCGTGAAAGCCTTCATTCTTTATTCATAACTCCCAAGGGAATTAAGGATTTTCATAACTCCCATTTTTTCCTTGAATAAGTAAAACTTTGAGAAAAAATAAAAATTTTGGTTTATGGTTTATTCCTTTATAAAAATAGACAGGATACAGTAAATTCAGTAGGATATGGAATTATCTATGTATCACGGAAATAATCAGGTGTTAATACCGAAGGGGCAATTGGTGTCCCTCGGCCCAGAGGCCCTCGGGACACAAACGTTGCCCTGGGGTATTAACACCCTCATAATTCCCTTGATACATAAATAACTATTATTGATTAATTTAACACCCCTGCTCAATTTGAACATCTAACATTTTAAATTGCAAAAAATAAAAATAGTTTTTTCGAACATAAAAAAAATAAATAATAATAAATAATATCATAAAGTAACCTACACCAAACAAAAGTAATGAAAGTTATTAAATTACATTCCACATATTCCTGAAGTATTCAAATTTAAATTTAGGTATAGGCTTAATTAAAATATCTGCAACATTTTCTTTTGTTGAGACATATTTTAAAATAAAAAGCTCCTTTGCTACACAGTCTTTACCTACCCACGCTATGTTGCGCTCGACATAGCACCATCCACCCCGCAAACCGCTACGTAACGCCACTCCCAGCAACTGCCATCTTTACGATAATTATAGTAATAAGTTTAACGATATCTATCTGTGATAATAAATTAGAACTGATTTTAAACTTCGGGCATTTAATTTAACCACCGGACTACCGGACTTTACAATAAGTTCTGAAGCAGTCAATGCACTGGCAAGATATTCTGATTCATGGCTCAACTGTGCAACAACATTTTGTTTTTTTGAGCCCCATGAAACTAGGTTTTTGTTCATAAACACTGCATAACCACTAACACTTTTTCTATCTAATTGATCACTGCCCCAATCCGCATCAGAGTAGGCCGTTAGTTGATTCTTGCTTTCCGTGCTTCTTTCATAAGTTAGTGACATGTTCTGCCTTTGTTTCAAGTACCTATCTCAGGATCCTCTTTGCAGCTGTCCATTCTTGTTCTATAGGTTTATCTAGAAATTTGTTCAGATAAATCACAGAGTGTTGAATATCTGGTCTGCTTATTGTAGCTAGGTATGTTAGTTCTAACTGGTTGATCCTCTATTTGAATCTTTCTAGCATTTTCTCAATAGGTCCTTTTTGTAAGTGCACTAAGTTCTCTTTAGTCTCTATTACCATGCCCAAGAAATGTTCAATGTTCCCAAGATTTTTTAGCAAAAACTCTTCTTGTAAAGCTTTTAATATCTTATCACTGTTGGGTCCTGTTAAGATGATGTCATTTATTCACAGTCCCACAGTAATAACCAAACTTTCTCGCAAAAGTCATGTCTTGAACGTTTCAAGTTATTTTTCTGTGAAAAATTATTGAAGCTTTCATTCCAGGCTATCGGGGCTTCACGTAGACCGTAAAGTGTCTTTTTTAACTTTAGCACATTACAGTTTTTGTTGAGATTTTTTTCAACTTTTACTCCTTGTGGAATTTTCAGGTACACATCTAGGTTCAGCTTTCCATGCAAAAATGCAGTAGGTATATCCAATTGTTTGATATGCCATTTATTTTGTAAAGGCTGTACAATGAGCATTCTAATTGTTGAATACCTTGCAACTGGTGCAAAATTATTGTAGTGAAAATCTTCCTGGTACCCTTTCGCCATAAGTCTCGCCTTCTTAACACCACTAGGTTTAATTTCAAATAGCCAACGTAGGTATATCTATTGCTTTTTTTCCTTCTGGTAGTTTTGCCTGTTCTTATGTTTTGTGCTTTTCAAGAGCTGATAGTTTACGTTGTATTACTTGTTTGCAACCGTCATTTGACATTGCTTCGTTATAGGTCTCTGGTTCTTGTTCTTCTGCACTAAATAAGCAATGGGCTAAATAAAACTCATAGTCACCAAATCGTTCTGGAATTTTCACTTCTCTCCTATTTTTTCTATTATTTCCTTTCACATTGTGTTCATTTTCTATTCCTTGTTCTTCTTCTGGATCTTGCTGTTCATCTTCTTCATTATATTTTTCTTCTGTCTCTACTTTATTCTCGACAACCTCTACTATGTCATACATAACAGCATTTTCATCAAATCTCATCATTCTCTGGATCCCATAGTCTGTAGCCATTCATGCTATATCCAACTAGCCTTACTTGTTTTGCTCTCGTGTCTAATTTGTCTCCAGAGTTTGGCATCTGTGAAGCCCACGCTTTATTTCCAAACACCCTTAAATTACTTAAATCAGTCTTTCCATAACATAATATACAGGGTGAGTTACTAAGCGCGCGGTGGTCCATATCTCCTATACTAACGGAGATTGGAGAAAAAACTAAATATAAAACTTGTAGATAAATATGAGTATTACATTCCTAAATTATTCTCTAGTATACAGGGTGGCCCAATAACTAGTAGTGACACAAAGTTATGTTTTTTTAAATGACTCTCCTTGTATATTATGACATTTCTGGATTCTGCGGAAAATTCTAGACATATTTCATGAATATTGTCATATACCTATCTTCAACTGTTTCGGAAATATTGACAGTTGAAAATTGACTTTTTTGCATCTTTGACAGACTGTGAAACCTACACGGTTAATTTTAGAGGAAAACGGATTTCACATTCCTATCTTAGATTTCCATAAGCTATCATTTGACAGCAACTTTGAATTTAACCGAAGATTAATAATTTAGGCGGAATTTCTAATCATGGATTAAATTCAAGATTGGTGCTAAATGAAAGTTTATAAAAAACCAAGATAGGAATGTAAAATCCGTTTTCTTGTAAAATTAACCATTCAGGTTTTACAGTCTGTCAAAGATGCAAAAAAGTTTTCAACTGTCAATATTTCCGAAACAGTTGAAGATAGGTATATGATATTGTATTTGAAATATGTCTAGAATCTTCCGCAGAATCCAGAAATGTCATAATATATAGGGAGAGTCATTTAAAAAAACATAACTTTGTGTCACTACGAGTTATTGGGCCACCCTGTATACTGGAAAATAATTTAGGAATGT